AAAAAATAATTCATTCAAGTAAACATAAAAAATAATATATTATATATTTGTATCGAAATTATGGTTATCAATTTATTTTAAACAATAAAAGTTAATTTTTATTAGGATAGTGATTGGTACACCCTATATTTCAACACCCGGTTCAACATCCTTCGGTTTAATAATTAAAAAATCACTATTTTTTAGTCTAAAATTAAAAACAGACAAGTATAATGATATAATTATGCACATAGGATACAGGAACCGACTGAATTAACTGTATTTATATTATATTTTTAATAACTAAACCGGAGGATGTTGAATCGAGTGTTGAACCAGAAGATGTACCAAACATTTCCCTTTTTATTAATATTTGGAGTATAAGAGGTACTCCAAAACTCTAACAACCATATCACTTCCAAATATATATGTATAACACACAATTATTCTTAATTAACCACAATTATCTTATATAAACAAATTATTCCACTTCCCAATTCCCACCCTTCTCTCACTCTCTTATTTGAGTTTAACCTTAAGTGTTGACAAAAAAAACTTCTTGATACTTATTGAACATAAATCCCTCACCACTTCAAACACTTTATCCATAAGGTATAGGTGACTTGACAATAGGAACAGATGATTTACATGTCAAGTTGTAATTCCACAAAACGTTCGTCTTGAATTAATTATGGTCATTAATTAAATGCAATTTCATGCATGAAGTTGTTGGTGTATATATATTGTGAAAGTATGATGTCCCTATACATGATTACATGCATGTAAGGTATTCGTAGTGCAAGTATGTTGTATGCTTTTATATCTATCTATATGCTTGAGTGAGGTAACCTTTTGTAGAGTTAATAATAGTACACGGATCCAATATAAATGTAATTTTATTTGTGAGGTAAGAGTATCTCTTATTCTCCAATAATAAAATTTGATGTTCAAATAAATTAATAAAAAAAAAAAAACTCCATAAGAATGTATATTTCTTTGGGTTTTGTGTAAGAAATAATTAAATATGTCATGCATAGATAATAAATAAGATATTTAATAAAGTTATGAGCACCTTAATTCACCATGATTTTTATTGTTTTGAAGAATAAAAAAAATTATTTGAGAATAAAGAAGTAAGTGGCACACTTTTTCTTAATTAATTTAGTTGAATATTTATATTTTAATAATTTTTTTTCACTGATATGTGATTGCTATTACTGTTACAATCTCTTTTTTATTTATTTCTCAACCTCAATTATGGCATAATTGTGATAGGAAAATTCGTTACTTATTATGATTTTCATATGTGACAAATTATCTATATTATCACAAAATGTAATTGTTACAAATGAAAAAGTTTAGTCACAAATAAAATTTCATACAAAAATTAATCATTTATAACTAATATTTTATTTGTAACTAATATTTAACTTAGAGTGACAATTTTGATTATAACAATTTAATATTATTTATTGTGATAAATCTTTTTGTGACTAAATATAAGTTTTGTGTGAAAATTATGTTTGAATTTCAAAAATTAGCATTAGAGACTAATATCTTGAATTGGTTATAAATGTAAAGAATATTAGTAATAAACTAGAAATCAGTTACCATTTTCAGTCATAAAAAATTCATTTTCTTATAGTGCATCCAAGTTTTAGCCACTCTATAAGCCAAAATTGGTTGTTTATGGGGATTGCAATTGATTCTCATAGGGCAAGAATCTTTTTCCCATCTCTATTCCTACCAATAGTAGATATAAGAATCATTACAAAAAGGACCACATTTAGTGACTAATTTATTAAATCTTATTTTTCGTCACAAATTAGAATTAGTGATGAAATTTAAATCATTAGTAAAATTGTTACCATTAATGCTCTTAACAACGAATTTGACACTAATCACAGAAAAAAATTTTACAGTGATGAAAAAACTAACATTATTAATAAATTATTTATAATAATTTTATTCATCACAAAAAGTACTACTTGTAACAAAAATTTTGGTCACAAAATCCACAGTTGAGTGATGAGAAAAACACCAATAATGTGATTAAGTATCTATGATGAAATGTTTGGTCATTAATTATTTAAACCAGTATTGAACCAAAAAATGTGTTTTTATAATTAACATATACCTATGATATATCTTTCCTTCCTAAATATAATAAAGTATTAACAGAAAATTTGATGGAAAATTTGGTCACTAATTATCTAAATAGAAAAGGATAACAATATACATCTATGATCACCAATTTCGTCACAAATAGAGATCAAGTTGAAATTTAGTCAATTACCAATCAATATTGATCACAAGTTTAATTTCAAAAAAAATGATTATACCAATTTTAGTAAGAAAATTTTTTTTAAAAATAATATCTAAAAGATAAAGTTTTGTTAACAAAGAAAATTTCATAATAATTTAGTTTTATAATGGAATTGCAAATATTGATTTTTTTATCAGCAAATAAGAAATTTTATTCAAAGAGACTTTAACTTATTATTATAAGGTTCTACAATGAAAATGCATATCATATATCAACCCTACAGTTTTGTTTCAATTGCTATGCATAATTGTTACATAACTCTAATTTAACTACTAAGACAAAGTGCATCATTACTCACACAACTCCATTGAGACATTTTGTAACCTCTATAACAAAACAAAACCCTAATCCACATATATACAAAATTAACATTCTTACATATTACAATGCTTAGCTTGAAAGTGGTATAGAACCTCACAAAACACATGCAAAAAAAAAAAAAAAAAAAAAAAAGTGAGCTAGAAATCCTTTCTAGTCCTTGCTTAGCCATAGACTTCAAATATATAGATGAAAAGACGTTGAAAAAATAATAGCACAAAATAACACATAAATCAAGTAACCAAAACCAAAATTTGATTCTCATTAATTCATAATTGCTAATATACTTTCTCTTTGGTTATTAAAGATTATTTGATTGCGCCAAATCCGTATCAAACCAAATTGTTATCAAAGCCCTTTGCTGACTCTTCCTTTGCCATAGACCTTCATGTTGCAAGAAAGCACTATTGCATGCATTATGAATTAATGTTTTGAAAAACCAAAATCCCCACCACACATGACAATAGTGTCATTGTTTTTGGGTTTTATCACATATTTAATCAGCATATTATCTTAGAAAAAAACTAAAGACTTGGTTGAGGGTCAAAAGAAAAGGAAAATTCAATCATTTCATAAATGGAGATCCGTGATAATAGTCAGTTTTACATATGAAATAATTAAGAAAGGTGGATAAAATTAGAGGTCTTCTAAATTTATATATATGCGTACAACTCTAATTTTTTAGAGTTGAGATTTGTCCTTGTTGAGTTTTGAAAGTTCAAATTTGAATTTCTCCATTATTATCTCTTTTAGTTATTCAAAAATTTTACTAGTTTGTCAAATCCTTTTATGTTATTTGTAAATATATTTTAAATATGTATTCTGCTCGTATCCCACTATACATGGGAGGTTTATTGTACTCCTCTCTCTCTATATATATATTTTAATGGACAGCACAACTCAAGTCATTGAGTTCTTTGTCAATTTACATGGTATTGAAGTAGTGCTAAGTTTAAATCCATTCATTCATGGCTAGAAAAAGCACAAATCTTTCCATTGTTGAGAACTACAACAATCCATACTATCTACACCCTTTTGATACTCCTAGAAATGTTCTTGTATCCAATATTCTTACCAATGACAATTATTCAACACGACACCATGCAATGAAGTTAGCCTTCACTGTTGAGAACAAGCTAAGATTGGTGCATGGTACACTCGAACAACTAGTTGCTAATTCAAAAATTTTCAATCTTCGACAAGATGCAATACCTTGGTAATTTCTTGGTTACTTAATTCCATTAGCAAAGACATCAGTGATAGTATTTTTATTCAGACATAACAAGTACCATTTGAAAGGAATTGGAGGAACGATTCTCTCAAGGTAATACTGCCAAAATTTATCAACTATGTAGAGATGTTGTTCTATGTCGCCAAGAACATTTATCTATTGCTGTGTATTTTAACGAATTGAAGGGACTTTGGGATGGGTTATCATCTTATGTTATTTTACCTGAATGCACTTGTGGGGGCATCAAAGTCTATTTCAGATATCCAACACTAAGAAAAGTCGATGCAGTTTTTAATGGGTCATAATGATACCTATGCCTCAATCCATCCTCAAATTCTATTGATGAATCCTTTGCCTACTACAAACAAAGCTTACTCTATGTTACTTCAAGAAAATAAGCACCAATATCTTCATCTTACACCAGCCAATGATAATATTCTTGCGGCTGTAGTAAAGCAAATTTCTCAACCTTGATATGATAATCGAGTGAAGCCAAGGCATGAAAGGCCACATTGTGATCATTGCAATCACCTTAGTCATACTAAAGATCATTGTTTTCTCCTTCATGGTTTTCCAAAATAGTTATCTGGTCCTCGAGCCAACAGTGTTTAGATTTCTCCTCTAAATGAGCCATTTATGCTAGCACCTCTACTCTTTATTGTAATATAATCAATTAATTGCTCTTCTATTTAATGGGTCTTCAGCCACTGCCACTACTACCATTATTGCCACCCCTACTTCTTCACTAATTATTTCTACTAATTTTGTTGCAAATCTTGCTAGTAAGCCTTTTTTCAAAATACTTCAT